CCCCCCACAAGGGGACCCAGCAGCCCCGGCCTCATTTGCCTACAGGTTCCCCACATGCAAATGAGGATGCAAATGAGCCCAGGGAGAAGCAGGAAGAGGCCTCAACGCTTCCCGAAGGCTTGGGTGTCCCGTGTCCCCCCCCCGCATTCCCCTCCCCCCACAGGGTGCCCCTGGGGGGGGGGGACACAATCTTAATTACGATTAATTAACGCATAAACTCAAGCCTAGCTTTTGTTTAACTAACAGAGGCATTAATTACTCCTCGTTAGCATTAAAAAAAGTCTTTCAAACTGTCATTTAAGAAATAAAAATAAACTAAAAAGGATGATAACATTAAAAACGCCAAATGAAAAGAAACCCAAAAAAATAATCGAATGCAAATAATTAAAAAAAATAGGCAATTAATGGGGTTTCAGGAATGCGCACAAGCTCCAGCTTCTATCTAACGAAGCGCTCATTAATTACACCCACGGCGCAGGGGAAAACTCCGCCTGGACATTGAGAAATAGAATGCGAATACTAATTGAGTGCGATTAATCAACAAATTCAGCCTAATTATTATTTAAATAGATCGCAAACATTAATTACATCCCAATAACACGACACTAGCAATTAAAAAGGTCGAGTTGACAATAAATACAATCATTTATACATCTATTACACCCCAGCAGGATTGTAATTTTAATTTCAAGCAGCACGGGCGTTAGTTCCGCCCAATTAATACTGAGCTACGAATTAAAAACATATAATTTATGATCGATAAGTCTAGATTACCGATTAGGTTGCGCAGGACGGTTATGCCTAACAGTTAGGCTTAGGTTTACGGTTGGTGACTGGGGAGAACAGATCGGTTTCGAGTTTGGGGCCGGGTTTAGGTTGGGGTTAGGGCTAAAGCTCAAGTTTGGGGTCGGGTTTAGGGCTAAAGCTCAAGTTTGGGGTCGGGTTTAAGGTTGAGTTAGAGTTTAGGGTTAATATCGGGGGTTAGGCTGAGCACTAAGGTTGTGCTCCGTGTTAATCTTAGCTACGGTTACGGGTTATGTTAGGTTGAGAGATGGGTTTACAGTTAGGCTGAGGTTTGGGGTTAGAGTAAGGGTTAGTCTTACCGTTCGGTTTACGGTTGGGGTTAGTGGTTAGGGCTTGGCTTAGCACTGAGGATAAGAGTTAGGGTTAGGACTAGGGTTTGGGTTAAGTGCTTCAGAAAAGCAGTTTGAGCTAGGATTTAGATTAGCGCTTAGGATAGGAGGAATTAAGGCTAGGGTTTGAGTTAAATCCTTCGAAGAGGAGCCAGCACTAGGGCTAGGATTAAGCACTTCGGATAAGAGTTAGGGTTAGGACTAGAGTTTGGGTTAAGCGCTTCAAATAGGAGTTAGGGCTAGAGCTAGGATTAAGTACTTAGGCTAGGAGTTAAGGCTAGGAGTTGGGTTAAATGCTTAGGAGAGGAGTTAGGGCTAGAGCTAGGAGTAAACACTAAGGAGAGGAGTTAGGGCTAGAGCTAGGAGTAAACACTAAGGCTAGGAGTTAGGGCTAGGAGTAAACACTAAGGCTAGGGGTTAGGGCTAGGAGTAAACACTAAGGCTAGGGGTTAGGGCTAGGAGTAAACACTAAGGCTAGGGGTTAGGGCTAGGAGTAAACACTAAGGCTAGGGGTTAGGGCTAGGAGTAAACACTAAGGCTAGGGGTTAGGGCTAGGAGTAAACACTAAGGCTAGGGGTTAGGGCTAGGAGTAAACACTAAGGCTAGGAGTTAAGGCTAGGAGTTAAGGCTAGGAGTTGGGTTAAATGCTTAGGAGAGGAGTTAGGACTAGGATTTGGATTAGCGCTTAGGATAGAAGTTAAGGCCAGGACTAGGATAGGGATTAAATACTTAGAAGAGAAGTTAGGATTAGGATTTGGGTGAGCGTTCAGGATAGTAGGTAGGGCTAGGACTAGACCAGCACTTAGGCTAGGAGTTAGGCCGAGGTCGATAGATACGCGTACAGTCAGGAGCTGGGTAGAATACTTAGGATTTCAGATTTAGGACAGGGTTTGGGTTTAGGGTTAGGAGAGGGATTAGGGTCGGGCTCAGAGAGCTGCTTCCAAGCTTGGAGGCTGAAGGATCTCTCGAAGACCGCGGCTTCCCGGGGCGCAAACCTGCGACCTCTCCTTCCGCCGCCCCTCGGTCCTGCAGCCCTCGAGTGAGAAGTCAACCGTCAGAGGAGCTTGGCCATTAGCAAAGCCGTTAAATTCGCTAATTGACGCAATCCGGGGGTGCAAACGAGTCCATCTCCTTCACAACTTCTCCGCGCTGATCTGCAGCTCCACCCGCTTCTCGACCATCAGGTCCCCACACCTTCTCCAGGTGGTTCCATACCACGAACCCGACCTTTCCGCTCTGGTGGACCTTCACCCCGTTGCTTGAGCACCTCCAGGGCCCCCCCACTTAACCCCCTCCCTGCAAACCCCCGTCTTCCACCCAACCGTTGGTGAGGAACGTCACCTTGAAGGGCAACCAAGACCGGAGGAGGGACAAACCCAGCCACGGTAAAAGAAAAATCCCATTTTTTTCCCCATTTAAAACCCGCAAAACTCCATTATTTCAACTCTAAACACAACCCGCAAAGGAAAAAAAACCCACATAGACACAGTCAGACCCGTTCAAAACTCCGTAACCGACGGAGCAACCGCTCATCCACACCATGTCCCTTCTTCCACCCTCCCGGCACGGTGGGCCGTCACCTCCTTCCCGCTTACCAGCCTACGGATGCTCCCCTTGCCATCCTTCTTCTCTTCAAGTCATCTCCTCCACGAAGACTTGCTCGAGGATGGTCGCTGGCCACCTGAGTGGTCCCGCGGCCCCTGCAAAACGCAACAGAAGCGACTCAACGCGCTGCTTGCCGAGAGTTACCAGCTCAAGAGCTACAATCTCCACCCAAACAGGCCACCACGGTCAACAGATGATCATGCCGTGGTGGGACCAGGCTACCCCCGACTCTACCGTGACTCCGTCCACGGGCAAAGCAGCTCCACCCCCCGTAGGCACCACAACCGTCACCCCACGGTGCAAGAAACCCAGATGAATTCCAGAAGCGGCGACGCAGCTTGCCATGAAGTCCTACGACGGCCACGGGTGCTCTAGCGCGGTCCTCAAGAGACGAACGCCACGGCTGGGCGTTGAAGATAACCGGTGAAGCCGGGATGATCGATGGCGCAAAACCATCACAAAGACTTAAGGCCGCGATGACGCGAGGAAGAAGCCCCCGAAAGGACGTTGCAATGCGTCGCGATGACAAGACCTGATGACAACGTCCAAGCAAGAACCAGAACGATTGGCCGAGAAGACCTACAGAAGACTCGTGCTTTTACATTGTAGCGCAAGAGAAGATGAGCTCGATGGGCGCGGCGATGACCATTTGAGCTCGCAAGGAGATGACCAATGGCCTCTGCCAAGGGATGTGGAGCTCCTCAAGCGGGAGGAGCAAGATGAACATGAAGACCCGGAGATGCATGGGATATCTACGAATACGCGCAACGTTGAGTGCCCACCACCGAGACCTTCTGGAGCTGCTTTGCCGGTGGGACAAACTGGTCCCTCTACCTCACGGTGACTCTCTTACAGCAACCCATCCCTTCGCACCAATTTTCACATGGTTCCGTGCCCCACCATCTGCGGTTTTTGCCCCAGAACTTAGCCATAGGTCATGCGTCTGTCCTCAGCGGCGTCCGTCCACGGCGCCGTCCTCGGCAGCGTCCGTCCACGGCAGCAGCCTCATCATCCAACCGTCAGGATCCTTCGATAGAAGTCACCTGCAAAAAACCAGAACTGGTTGACATCTGCTTCATCGATGACAAAGTCGTCCTCCAAAACTTGATGTTCATCTGCTCACCTGCTCCGCTCCCGTATCGAGAAAACGACATCGCAGTCAGCGTCAC